ACTGTCTCCTCAGCGGAAACGGAGCTTGAGCCTTCCCTTTGAAACACCTCCATTTTTCTCTGATGATGACATGTGTTGACTGTTCCCTGGGACCAGTCAGTAGATGTTAAGCAGTGGCTGGAGGGGAATTTCCAGGAACTTGTCCAAATCTACAGAGCCTAAAAGTTCTCGATTTGTTCCAGAGTTTAATGGAACAAATGACTGGTTAGGCTTTTTATAGAATTTTGTATATGTATGTGTGTATATATAAACCATTTAAACGTGGGCTCAGTAATGGCCACCATTTGCCCCTCCCGTGACGCCAGCACATTCTGCAGCCGTAGCGTGAGAGTATGCTTTCATGACGTTCTTGATCCTCCAGCGTGCATTTTAGACATTTCATACATTTGTGTCTTTATTTTTTTCCGGACAAATCAGATTGATTTCCTGAATTCAGTAATAGTGGATCTTCAGAGGAAGAATCAAGACCTCAAGATGAAGGTGGAGATGATGTCTGAAGCAGCCCTTAATGGGAACGGCGATGACCTAAACAACTACGACAGGTATTTTATATTAAGCAATGCTGATCAGAACCTTCGTTCCACCAAAATGAAGGTTTTTAAAGTTACAAGTTCTCCAGTGGGTTGGAGAAACAATTGTCTTGGCCATAAATCGATTTCCATAAATCTGGCAAGAGAGTGATGTAGCACTCTATAAATGATTTGATGGGAAAGTTTCAAGTGTGGACTGTAGAACGTCCAACTTGAATTAAATGTACGACGTATACTCGAGGCTCCCAGACTTGGCCATAAGTAGTTCTTGCTTCTTTTGTGTTCTTTGCAACTGTTACTGTCTCTTGAATTTCATCTGATAGAGATGAGTTTCTGATCGTACACATTAACCTTTGTAGTGATGACCAGGAGAAACAGTCCAAGAAGAAACCTCGCCTCTTCTGTGACATATGTGACTGCTTTGACCTCCACGACACAGAGGACTGCCCCACCCAGGCACAGGCGTCAGAGGACCCCCCCCACTCCACACACCACGGCAGTCGGAGCGAGGAGCGCCCGTACTGTGAAATCTGTGAGGTGTTCGGGCACTGGGCCACCCACTGCAATGACGACGAGACATTCTGATGGGACCCCCAGCCTCGCGCCGGGCTCCTCAGGGGCACGACCATGTAGGCAACAGAACACCAGCATCCTGTGTGCAGACTTCCGGAGAACCCACGTTATTTTTGACCCCCATCCACAAATCTAAGAAAATATTTTGAGCTTCAGTAAATCACCCTTTTAGTCTCCCCTTAGAATTTGAAATAATAAATACTTAGTGGGTGAGTTTTCACCTCTAATTTTGTCTTCTTGATTTTTAAAAGTTCTGACAAGACATTGCACCAGATGCCATTACATTTACTGCCCCGAGGGAACCCTCCTAGAACAATCCCTACCCTCACAATACCTTATTTAAGTAACTTTAAATTATGCTGTTACTTTTCATATTTGCACTAAAAATTTCCAGGCTGCGTTTGTATATTTAGATGTTTGGGTTAAGCTCTGACACTGGAATGAGTTGGAAAAATGTGCCATTTTGCATTTTCATCTACTCATTTAAAGTATTTTATTTTTAAAGAAGTATCTGAGCTCTTTGCACTACCTGTTGTCAGTAGTGCCTTTATTTCAGGCTTGATAATACTTGGGTGTGATTATAAAATCATGAAACAGGTAAAGGGAGGGGGAAGCCCCAACTGCTGTGGGGACATTTTATAATCTATATGCTGCACCTACTCACTCTACTGTGCTGTTTTGTTCATTGGTTTTGCATAATTTCAGCTTCTATATATTATATGTATATATTTTTTAAAAAATCTATATTTTGGGAAAAAACAATGACTTTCTTTTCAGATTTTTACCTTTATGAAAAAACACATCAGGACATGATGAACTAGGCCAGAATATAACATCACGTGGCTTTGCAACTGTTTTTTTCTGTTTTCACTTTGTTTCTTTATCAGATATAAATAACTGGGAGAGTTTTCTCCAAATCTGTTTCTTTCTCCAGCAGATATCCCCAGCAGTCAATTAACTAGATAATAAGCCACAGTAAAACACCTAAATTAACCAGTCTACAATCTTTACAAGTTTTTTTTACCGTGTTTTTAGATGAATGTACGATGAGAAATTCAACATTAATAATTTTGGAGTTTCTTATCACAAAAAATAAAAATGAAGGACCTCAACCATCAGAAGTTTATCAACCAGTTTGAATCTATTTATCTTCATTTGAATGTCTTTTAGGATATGTAAAAAGTAATAAATGTGTCTTCCATGCTACATGTATAATAAGAACTTCTATAATTGTATATATGCCTTTGATGTATTTTTCCCCTCAAGATTATCAAATGTGTGTCTGACAAGTGAAAAATCTGTAATGAGTTGAAATTTTTGGTTATAAACATATTATAATAGGAAGTGTTTCACAAACAAAAATGTAAAGCAGTATTAAAATTTGAGAAAACAAGTGTTCTGTATCTACTTTAATAAATGGTTCTTTTTTGCCAGTGGTAGTAAACTGATATTATTCTCAGGTTTATTTGTCTATGTTTTTTCTTAAATGAGCAAGCACTATATATCCAAATAGAAATTTCTACTGCAATCTTGTTGATAAACAGCTTTTAAGAAATCAATGTATTCCCCCCCAAAAAAGAAAACGTATTCCCATCTCAAAGCATCCTATGACCCACTTAACATAAAATCAATACTAAGGTTATTATCCATTGCTATATCACACTGTAATACCTGACAAAGATATAAATGGCACCAGATAGTAGCAACTATCAATCCATAGTGTTTTAGAAAGAAATTCTGAAAGTTGCTGTGATGTTCAGCAAAATGATTACCGAACCAAACATTTGTTTTATGAGCACAGACTCCCCAAAAGGTCTCAATATTTCCAAAGTGGTTATTTGTTGAACAAGAACATTACTTTAACCTAAGTAATACCCTAACACTAGTCCTAGACTTCAGTACTAACCAAAGGGGATTAAAAGACTCAAACTATAAACTTACTGTGGTATTCATTTTGCAATTTATACTTAGGTCAAATCATGTTGTACATCTGAAACTAATACAATGTTACATGTCAATTATACCCATAAAAACTAAAAAGAAAAAACACTAAGGCCTGCAATATTTATAGGGCAACTACAGCAGTATAGCAATGTTTCCAAACATTTGGTCTCTACATAAGTTAAACACCTATGTTGATCATCTTCTAGCATCCTGATCCTGTCTAAGAAGGAGTGTTTATCATCCTGGTCTTGCTCATTTATATTCATGCGTGCTTGGGATTTCTAGCCTTGGGCATTTCAACTCTTAAGTTATAGCCTCATTTAACAGTTCATGACAAGGCCTGCTGAGCTCAACATGTATTCTCACAGATGGTGCTAAAATAATACACATTTTCAGTTGGGCAAAAAGCCTGCACATGTGACAATTTTTTTTTAAAGATTTTATTTATTTATTTGACGGAGATCACAAGTAGACGGAGAGGCAGGCAGAGAGAGAGAGAGAGAGAGGGAAGCAGGCTCCCTGCTGAGCAGAGAGCCCGATGCGGGATGCAGGACTTGATCCCAGGAACCTGAGATCATGACCTGAGCTGAAGGCAGCGGCTTAACCCACTGAGCCACCCAGGCGCCCTGTGACAATTTTTTAAAAAAGATTTTTAGGGGCTCCTGGGTGTCTCAGTGGGTTAAGCCTCTGCCTTCAGCTCAGGTCATGATCTCAGGGTCCTGGGAGCCCCACATCAGGCTCTCTGCTCAGCGGGGAGCCTGCTTCCCCCCGCCCATCCCGCCACCCCACCTGCTGCTCTACTTGTGATCTCTCTGTCAAATAAATTTTAAAAAATAAAAATCTTTAAAATATTTTTTTAAATTTATTTGACAGATACAGTGAGAGAGGGAATACAGAAAGGGGAAGTGGGAGAGGGAGAAGCAGGCTTCCCCCTGAGTGGGGAGCCCAAAGGGGGGCTGGATCCCAGGACCCTGGGACCATGACCTGAGCTGAAGGCATTTAACGACTGAGCCACCTGGGCACCCCCAAGAACTTGTGATGCAGGTTGAGAAGCACTGTAAAAACCGGGTTGAGAAATAGGGTATGGAACAGTGTGCATGAGTGGAAACAAGCTAGTTTAAAATCTAAATGGTTTTGATGGAATCATGGAATTGAGTGTACAAATGTGTATATATGGATGATTGTTTGCTTTTCTGCTTCATCCAGAAGAAGAGAACAGAAATTCTGTTCTTTGCCTGCCCAGACTTAATGATAGTTGTTTAGTGAGCCCTTTCTTCATACCACAGAGTGTATATAAAGGATTGAAGGAAGCATCCACTTGAAGACCCATTTTCAAGCCTCTTTCACCTCCCAAATAATCAATTTCCATCCTCGAAGTACTGAGACGCACTTATCCTCCTAAAACATTAGTTATTAAGCAGTTAAGGTCCAGGCACCCTTCTAAGCTTTTAATATGAAACATGATGTAAATTCCACCTTTTTGATCCTCACAACTCACAAGGTAACATACGAATTTTACTGATGGAACTGGATTCCACGAGGAATAGTCTATGTGTGAAATACCATGCAATGGAAGTTTACCAGAAGAGCTAAACATTGACGTCCCATGACGGATTCCCTCAGCCGCTGTGCTTTTTCATAAAGTTTAGCCTACAGAGCAAAGCGAAAGGCTTTCTGAGTGCTACAAAAGATTTCCATTATAGTGGGTATGCTTGCTGCTAAGAAGAATGAGTAGGGGGCCGGTCCCCGCCTCTCAACTCAATTCCCAGCGCCCAACGACTCCTGGACTGAGTCAGGGTCCGGATAGGGCCGGGGGGCGGTCTTGGGGTGTGTCGGAACCGAAGCGGTAGAATAAACGGCAGGCGCTGAGGCCAGGAAAGACCGCAGACGCAAACCCAATTCAGTTTCCGGGTTTGCGTGCTGTCAGCCGCCCCGGTCACGTGGCAGTACGGTCACGTGACCGTGTCCGTGGGGCCTCGCCGGGAAAAGGGGCGGTGGGGCAAAATGGCGGCGCACCTGTCCTACGGACGAGTGAACCTGAACGTGCTGCGCGAGGCGGTGCGTCGCGAGCTGCGCGAGTTCCTGGACAAGTGCGCGGGAAGCAAGGTGAGGGACGGGAGGCAGCGACAGTGCTCTCCAGCCGCCAGTCCGGCCTGGCCTAATCTGGTTCCTGACCGCCTGAGCTCCAGGTGTATGAGGTCGCGGGGGCTTCCGAGGAGGGGAACAGGCGGGACCGGTGAGGCGGGGAGAGGGGCCTACTGGTGGGTCCGGAGGCACACAGCTCGGAGTCGGCGTGGCATAGCATTTGTTTTGTTGCAGCGCAGTAAGCCACTGTGGTATCTCAGCCACCTGAAACAGTTGTGTCAGGTGCCCTTCATGTCCAGAGGTCCAGCAGGTGTGGTGCCTCCCGAGATCAGGACGCGTGGGGCGGACGCGGCCCAAGGACATAGACGGTCCAGTGTCCCTGCATTACAGCGTGTCGTTGTATGTCGAACCATCGAAAGTCTCCGAAGCACCAGCGTTTTACAACCTGCTGCTCACACGGATTATGAAATAAATTATAGTTATTTGAGGTTTTACCGTGACCATTCTGAGGATTGTTTCTCCTGTTAGACCTTTACCACCACCCAGCTTACAGCTGAATGAGAAATGGTAGATCAGGGACTTGATAGGATTTCCTCTTAGTGGTGTCACCTTTCTCCACTCCCCTTAGGATTTATCAGGCCTCCTTAAGTAATTGGCAATACAACTCCGAAAAGAAAAGGAAAACTGGGGAGTCATTGAGGGAGAAAAAAAGCAGGCTAAGTCCTAGGTGCCCAGTTCAAGCTCAAGAAATGATACTGAAATCTCAATAAAATCATGGTTTGGATCAGTGTCAGTATCCTGGATATAATATTGTACTCTGGTTTTGCAAAATGTTACCACTGGGGGAAGCTGGGCAGAACATACAAGGGCTCTCTGATTATTTCTTACAAGTAAATGTTAATCTACACTTATCTCAGTAAAAATTTCAGTTAAAAAAGAGAAGAATGGGGCTCCTGGGTAGCTCAGTCGTTAAGCATCAGACTCTTGATTTCCGCTTAGGTCATGATCTCAGGGTTGTGAGAACCAGCCCCATGTGGAGCCTGCTTAAGATTCTCTCTTCTTGGGGCACCTGGGTGGCTCAGTGGGTTAAAGCCTCTGCCTTCGGCTCAGGTCATGATCCCAGGGTTCTGGGATCGAGCCCCAAATCGGCTCTTGGCTCAGCAGGGAGTCTGCTTCCCTCTCTCTTTCTCTCTGCCTGCCTCTCTGCCTACTTGTGATCTCTGTCTGTCAAATAAATAAATAAAATCTTAAAAAAAAAAAAGTTTCTCTCTTCCTCTTCCTCTGTCCCTCCACCCACCTGGTATGTACCCTCTATTTAAAAAAAAAAAAAAAAAAGCGGAGGAGGAAGAAATTACTCTGGGGATTAGTAGTAGAAAGGCTCTTAAGGGCCCAGAGCAGTGATTTGTGGGTCACTGAGTTCTAGGTTGGTCCCCCTATGCTATAGGTAAGGTCTAAGGTCCCTATGTGACCCTGGACATGGTACTTAAACTTCCCAAACCTTTTAAAACTTTTCTGTCAAAGTAAGATTTGTAATACCTATATCCAAGGTTTTAATTTTATATAATTTGATCATATGACATTTCCATAGAAAATACTAGGTTGAACTGTTGCCATTAGCAGTTTCCATCTCATTCAGTCTAATAATTAATACCATGACACAGATACACAACAAAGTATAGTTCCTTCTTTCTGTTGAGGACAGTGATTAAGTCTTAACTTCCCCATGACAACAGTGGCGTCACTGCGGCCCCTGTGTGGCTCAGTCTGTTAAGACTCCCAACTCCTGATATTGGCTCAGGTCGTGATCTCAGGGTCATGGGATCTGGCTCCGTGTTGGGCCCCAAGTTGGGCTCTGCACTCAGGGAAGTCTGGTTGAGATTCTCTTTCCTTCTCCCTCTCCCCCTCCCTCTCCCTGCACACTCACTCACTCTCTGTCTTTCTCTCTAATAAATAAATCTTTAAACAAAACAAAACAAATCAAACAAAAACCCAGCAGTAGCATCACTTGTCCAGGGCTGGTTTTTCTTTAGACCTGTAAGATATGAATGTGGTTAGAGCCAATTAAAATTTTTGTTAATTCAGAGTTTGAAGCAAATATTCCTACTACATATGACTGCTGGGTTTTTTTTGTTTGTTTGTTTTGGTGAAATTCCTGATATTAACTGTAACGAGAGTGTCCCTTCCATCCTACAGGCAATAGTTTGGGACGAGTACCTCACAGGACCATTTGGCCTGATTGCACAATATTCACTACTGAAGGTAAATGAGTTATCTGGATTTTGTTCAGGAATTAATAATTCTAAACTTTAGCAATAATGGGATTTTACATTTTCTCCTGAGTAATTGGCTGGCAAAGCTCTTTGGCCCTTAGAGACACTGATACTAATGCATGTCTAACATTCTTCATACAGTGGTCCATTGGCCAGTGATTTTATGCTGATCCTAATTCTAGGGAAAATACTAGCCTTGTAGTAAGTGACCATTACCTAGTGTCACTGACGGTTTCTCAAGTGAGAGTCATTTGAATTCAGGTGCAGTAGCAGTGACTTAATCCTGAAACTTTGTCCTTTATACATCTGGATTTGGGGAAACTAAATTTTGCTAATCAAGTAATGTCATTTGGCTGGGATTGTTACTGATGTCTGGATATGACAGGTAAAGTTCAGGGTTTTTTTTTTTTTTTTTTTTTTTTTTTTTTTTTTTCCAGATGAATTTCTCTTTTATTTTTATTTTCAAACAGTAAAACTCACTTTTTTTAATGTACAGTTCTGTGATATTTTAACATGTATGATTTCTTTAACCATGACCACAGAGAGGATGCAGAGCAGTGCTAATACCCCAAAGAGCTCCCCTGGAGCATCTCTTGTGTTCTGACCCTCCTCACTCCAAAGCTCCAGAAAAACACTGATTTGTTTTCTATTCCTTTTTTTTTTTTTTTTGCAAGGGGAAAGGGCATTTCCAAGTTCAGGGTTTTTGTTAACCTTTTGTGTGTGTGTTTTCCTAGGAACATGAAGTGGAAAAAATGTTCACTCTTAAAGGAAGTCGTTTGCCAGCAACTGATGTCAAGAATATTATTTTTTTTGTCAGACCCAGGCTAGAACTGATGGATATAATTGCTGAAAATGTGCTCAGGTATCTCTCACAGCTTATGTTTGGTCCAAAAGCTGTTGGTCCTTCTCATGGTTTTAACGTACTGAGCCTCTTACGAGAAGGAATTCCTCATATTGTCAGTTCGGGGAAAGGTGGCCATTTAGAGAACAGGGCAGGCACAAAAGAACCTAAGAGGGCAAATGGGAAACTCGTGAAGTTGTTCAAACAGTTGGAGAAGGGGATCAACATATAACCCCATTTTCTGGACAGCTAAAACTGAGACCTATACCAATAGAAAGGACTCTGATTACAAAACCAAAACCTCAGATGGTTATTTTTCAATACACTCAGTATAGTGTGCTTGACTTTCATAAGCAAAGTAAGTACAAGCTGATTAAAATTTAATACTGCATCCAATCTTTAGAGGAAGTTCTCAGCCCCGTCTGCACTCTGTGGTACAGTTGATTGATGTGGCCCTTAAGATCTTAAAAGCATATGGGCTATTTTGGGAAGTCCGCTGTCAAGGAGACTAGACCTGGGAGTCAAGATTGATCTTTCATTTCCTGTAAGACTGTGTCACTGTGTTGGTGGGGTTAAAGAATCATTTGTTTTCAGTAAGACACGGATATCCTGTTTCAATAAACCTGAGAGCTTTAAAGCCCCACAGAAAGTTTAAGAGAAAGTTAGAAAATGCATCACAAAACACTGGCTGTGAATCAATGCCTCTTTCCCGCGAGGGGCAACTGTATAACAGTGTGTGAATCTGAAAGTCAGTATGTATGTGTTTATCCAACCAGCATTTATTTAGCGCCTGCTGTGTGCCAAGGCAGTGGTAAGGCTCTGGGAGTAAAATAAGTAAAATAGCCTATGACTTGTGGCTGCTCGTAAGCTAACCAGCATACTTCATTTGCAGTGAAGACAGACGCGGTCCAACAAGAGATTTCCACATTTTGTTTGTGCCGCGACGTAGTTTACTGTGTGAACAGCGGTTGAAGGATCTGGGTGTTCTGGGATCCTTTATTCATCGGGATGAGTACAGCCTCGACCTCATTCCATTTGATGGGGATCTCTTATCCATGGAATCGGAGGGGGCGTTCAAAGTAAGTACGACATTCTCCCTTTTGATGTCACACTTCAGTTTTTTCTTATTTATGAGCATGACAGTGTCAGCGATCCTGTTTTCATCTGCATTTCTGTGACTTCTGTGAAGCTGACCCTCTTTTCATGTGTTTATTGACATTTAAGATTTTTTCCTCTTTGGAGATCTTCAGCTTGTTCATTTTTGTTGCCCATTTTTTTCTTTTTAAGGAATTCTTTATATATTGTGTTCACGGATCACTGTGGGTTACAGAAGCTGCAAGTACTCCCGATCTGTGGTTTTTGCATCTTTTTTATAAATTTTTTTTTACTTATACTTTTACTTTTCCTTTTATTATAGCATTATTATTATTATATTATCTTTTTTATAATTATTATTATAATATTATTATATTATCTTTTCCTTTTAATATCTTTTTTTTTAACCTTTACTTATAAAATCTTTTATCACGTAGACATTTCCCATTATAAAGTGCTTTGCTTTATTTTTTTTTTTAGTAATAGCTTTATTGAGACCTAATTCACATGCCATAAAATTTACCCTTTTAAAGTGTGCGGTGCACCAGTTTCCGGGGTGTTCACAGAATTGTGCACCCATCGCCGCCATCTCATTGTGGACCATTTTTATCATCCCAGAAAGAAATCCTCTGCCCTTCAGCAGTCACTCCTCCCCACCCCCACCTCCCACCGCCCCCAGCTACTGGCAATCACTAGTCCATTGCCATCTGTATGGATTTGCCTATTCTGGAGATTTCTTATCAGTGAAATCATACAACCTGTGGTCTTTTGTGTCTGGCCTCGTAGCATCATGTTCTCGAGGCTCGTCCACATTGTGACAGGTATCCGTCCTTCCTTTCCTTTTATTGCCAAACGGTATTTCGTGGTAATGCCCTCCCGCATTTTGTTTATCATTCATCTGGAGTGGACAGGTGATGATTTTTCATCTGTTGGCGATCATGATGCTGCCAACATTAACATGGATTTTCATTAACATTAATACATGTATGTTTATTTCCCTTACCTATACCTAGAAGTGGAATCACAGGGTCATACGGTAAAGGTCTGTCCTCACTCATTTTCTGCTCCCACCAGAGAGAGATAAGGGTTCCAGTCTTAAATTCTCACCAGCACATTATTGTCTGTCTTTTTGAAGTTTGTCATCCTGGAGAATGTGATGCATTATCTCACTGTGGTTTTGATGTGCGTTTCCATAGGGACTAGTGATATTGATCACCTTCTCATGAGCTTCTTGGCCATTTGTATGTCTTCCTTTAAAGAAATGTCTGTTCTGGGGCGCCTGGGTGGCTCAGTGGGTTAAGCCTCTGCCTTCGGCTCAGGTGATGATCTCAGGGTCCTGGGATCGAGCCATCTGGGATCCCCCTCTCTCTCTACCTGCCTCTCTACTTGTGATTTCTCTCTCTGTCAAATAAATAAATAAAATCTTAAAAAAAAAAAAAAGGAAAAGAAAAGAAATGTCTATTCTGATCCGTGGTGCATTTTTTTAAAGCGGAATAGCTTATCTTCTCATTAGAAGAGTTGTAAGAATTCTGGAATGTTCTGGATGCAAGTTCTTTATTGGATTCACAATTGGCAAGTATTTTCTCCCATTCTGTGAGTTTTTTTCACTTGGTAAAAGCGTTCTCTCCCAATACAAAAAAAATTTTTCAACACAAAATTTTTCATTTTGAAGTTCAGTTTATCTGTTTTTTTTCCCTTTTGATGCTTTTGCTTTCGGTGTCCCATCTAAGAAATCGTTGCCTAACCCAGAGTAACAGATTGACCCCTATGTTTTCTTCAAAGAGTTTTATGGTTTCAGTCTTACATTAGGTCTTCGAGCTACTTTAAGTTCCCTTTTATCTGATGTGAGTTGGGGATCCAACTTCTCTGTTTGCATGTGGCTGTCCGTTTGCTCGGCACTGTTAGCTGGGAGGCAGAACTTTCCTCGTTAAATTGTCTTGGTGCCCTTGGTGTTGAAAATCAGTTATCCATAAATGTGTTTATTTCTGATGTCCCAATTCTATTCCATTAATCACTATGCCTGTCCTTAGGGCAGTACCATACTCTCTCCATTACTTGGCTTTGTAGTAATCTTTGACACTGAGAGGTAGGAGTCTTCCAAGTTAAAGTAGTTAAATATATCACTTTTATTCTTTTAGTTTGTGCTTTTTTTGAGTATTACTAATCTTTCTCCATCCTGAAGACATGGGAAATCTTATATCTTCCTTCAAAAGTCTTGGAAGTTTTGCTTTGTTGGGGGGAAAAAAAAGGTCAGGGCTTTAATCTAGCTTGAATTGTGTATTTGTGTGGTGTGAGGTAGAGTCTCATTTAATTTTTTCCAGGTGGCTAGCCAGTTGTTCCAGGCCTGGTTTTCTCTGCTGCTTATTTTCTGTGTTTATAGCAAATGTGCACACCTTTGTTCTCCAGAATGGAGAGTTTTCTTGCAAATGTAATTTTATGTATTTGTTTTATTTACCATCTTTTTTTTTTTTTTAGGTTTTTTTTTTTTTTTTTAAATCCATTTGACAGAGAGAGGAATCACAAGTAGGCAGAGAGGCAGGCAGAGAGAGAGGGAGAAGCAGGCTTCCCGCTGAGCAGAGAGCCCGATGCGGGGCTCAATCCCAGGACTCTGGGATCATGACCTGAGCTGAAGGCAGAGGCTTTAACCGACTGAGGCACCCAGGCGCCCCTCCTCCATTGTTTTAAATGAAAAATGTAAAATTTTCAACAAAAGTTGGGAGTTTGACAGGGAACACCCTTATATCTATCACCTGGACTGGAGTCACCATTTTGCTCCATCTGTTTCTTGCGTAGCTGTAATGGCGTACCCACGTGTCATTAATTCACATCTCTGTAATTAATGCGAATTGCTAGCAGCTGAGGCAGACGTGTCCCATCATGACAAGCCCCGTCCAGAGGAGAGATTTCCTGTTTGTTTTTCTGAAGATTTGCAAAAAAAAAAAAAAAATAAAAACAAAAGGACAGTTATTTTCTGCTGGGAATTTCAAGCTCTTGGTTTTGTACATTCACTTGAGATTCTGTTTAGAAATCAAAAGATTTTGCCTGGATGGTAACGCTGAGAATTCCCCCTAATGCAAAATTCAACCCCAGTTTCTGATGGAGTTGATGTAACTTTACATATTTTTTTTTTTTTTAAAGATTTTATTTATTTATTTGACAGAGAGAGAGCTCACAAGTAGACAGAGGCAGGCAGAGAGAGAGGAGGGGAAGCAGGCTCCCTGCTGAGCAGAGAGCCCGATGCGGGGCTCGATCCCAAGACCCTGGGATCATGACCTGAGCCGAAGGCAGAGGCTTTAACCCACTGAGCCACCCAGGCGCCCCGTAACTTTACATATTTATGTGATTTTAAACAATGAGTATAATTCAGTGGGTTTTGGCATCAGAAGGCACAGGTAGATCTTTCTGTGCTGTGGGAATATGCTTAGGATCTTCTCCATCATTGTTGTGTATAAAAATGTGGGAATCCGAGTTCACCCCACTGAATGCTCGGTAACAGTGTTTAATGTGTCACGGCCTTCATGCGTATACATAAAAATCAGTGTATATAAACCTGTTTCCTTTATAGAAACTGTGGGCTGTTCTGTTGTGTGGGCATGTGGGATTTGAAGGTTAAAAAGTATGTGTATTTCACTGTTAACAATATTAGCATCTGTCCCTCCCCAAATGTCCTCCTGGCTTAAAACTCCACAAGTGCACAGTAGAGTTGGGATATTAACACAAATAATCACCCCACTGACGCTTATGTTAGAGCAAAAAATTCAAGATTAGTATCTGTTTTTAACTTCTAAGTCTTTTTTAAAAGATAGCCTTATAAAAGGAATGTCTGGGGTGCCTGGGTGGTTCCTTTGGTTGAGCATCCAACTCTTGATTTCGGCTCAGGTTGTGATCTCAAGGTCATGAGATCAAGGTCCGCATCAGGCTCCGTGCTCGGGGCGGGGGCAGGAGGGGAGTCTGCTGGAGATGCTCCTCTCCCTCTGCCCCTACTCCCACGCTTGCTCACTTGCTTTCTCTCTAAAATAAAAATAAGTAAATGTTAAAAAAAAAAAAAAAAGAATGTCTGTAGTAATACGACTTCTTAAATTTAAAATTATTTGAATGCTGGGCACCTCGCTGGCTTGGTCTGTAGAGCACACAACTCTTGATCTCGGGGTTGTGGCTTTGAGCCCCATGCTGGGTATAGAGATTACTTAAAAATAGAGTCTTAGGGGCGGCGCCTGGGTGGCTCAGTGGGTTAAAGCCTCTGCCTTCGGCTCAGGTCATGATCCTGGTGTCCTGGGATTGAGCCCCACATCGGGCTCTCTACTCAGCGGGGAGCCTGCTTCCTCCTCTCTGCCTACTTGTGATCTCTGTCAAATAAATTAAAAAAAAAAAATCTAAAAAAAAAAAAAAGTCTTAAAGGAGCATCTTGGTGGCTCAGTTGGCTAAGCGTCTGTCTGCTTTCAGCTCAGGTAGTGATCTTGGGGGTCCTGGGATCGAGCCCCATGTCAGGTCTCCTGCTCAGCGGGGAGTCTGCTTTTCCCTCTTCCTCTGCCCTCCCCCTCACTCATTCGTGCGCTCTCTCTCTCTCTCAAATAAATAAATAAAATCTTTAAAAAATAATAAGAAGAATACTATTTTGAGAGATGTTCCCTAATACTTTTTTTCTTGAAATTTTGTCTTACTTCTGCTCCTGTCAGGGATTTTAAGTAATTTTGCCAGAAAGTGTGTCTTAGACACTTTTTTTTTTTTTCACCTTCCTATTTGGCTCTTCCAGACTTGGAAGAGCCCTCCTCCAGCAATGCTTCCATTGGTGACCAGACAGTCCTCACAGTGTCTTCAGGTGACAGCCCTCCTTCCTCCCAGGGGCGGAGTGCCCGAGTACTCCTCTATACCCCCCCCCATCCCTTTGTTATTAGACCAGGGGGGGGGGGGGGGGGGGGGGGGGGGTGAAGGCCAGGAGTCTGGTGCAATGTACCATTTTGACTTATTATTTCTTTTGGAGGGGGGAAGGTCAGAGGGAGAGGGAGAGAGAATCTTAATTAAGCAGGCTCTACACCCAGCACAGAGCCCGACGTGGGACTTGATCTCACGAACCTGAGATCCTGACCTGAGCCGGAATCCAGAGTCGGACACTTAACCAACTGAGCCACCCAGGCCCCTCATGTACCATTTGACTTGGGAACAGATGATGATTGTGAAAAACAGCCAAAAAATTACAAATAATAAAAGCTAACATTTATTAAGCACTTACTGTATGTTTCAAGTGCTGGGATTTAATGTTTTATGTGCATTTTCTTCATTTACTCCTTACACTATGTAGAATGTACTCCCTTTTACAGATTAGTAAATTGAGGCACACAGAGGTTATCTGACCAGCGGAGGGAGCAGCTGGGAAGTGGCACAGAGCGGCTCAGATCAAGGCGACCTGAGTCAGTGTTAGAACTGAGCATTTCCCCTCTCGATTCCCAACTGGCTTTGTGTGTATTTTGTTGGCCTTGACAAAATGGACCTCATGTATCTTATAAAGTAAAATGTATTTTCTGAAAATGAGTTCATACCCTAAAGATTGTTCAGCTATGTTTTTTGTCAGTGTATGTGAGATCTCATGTTTGTCAGAACTGCCGAGTGTTCTGTTGTGTGGTCCTCTGGCACTTTGGGGGTCAAAGAATGTGTGCCTTTGTGGGGATTAGCATGTGGCCTTTCCAGAATGCCTTTCCATTCTCATTGTCCATCTTCATTAATCAGTTTACTTGAGAGTCGATAAGTAAGAAGAATTGCTGTGCTTGATGAACACTTTCCTTCCAGAAGGTTCTGCCAGTTGCTTCCACAGCTACATCCCAGTAGCATAGCTGTCGGCCTCATGTTCTCAACCGCCAGATAGCAGCTTGACAAGACGGTCTTGCGTCCCCAGCTTTCCAGGCAAAATGGGAAATAAAGGGGAAGTCCCAGGGCCAGACAGAGGCAGGCACCCAGCACGCACCCAGTGACAGGGGCCTAACAGGAACCACCCTTTCTCCCCGCAGGAGTGCTACCTGGAGAGTGACCAGACGAGCCTCTACCACGCAGCCAAGGGGCTGATGACCCTGCAGGCTCTGTACGGGACAATCCCCCAGATCTTTGGGAAAGGAGAGTGTGCCAGGGTAAGAAGCGGTGCATGTTTCTGCGGTGAAGGAAGGGGTGCCCTGGTACCCAGAAAGGGAGAGATGGGAAGCTATTTACAAACAAGTACAGCCAATCCTATTTATTTCTGAACTCACCTAATTGCTGAAATGTACATGTAACTCCAAACTGAGATTCACAGTGTTTTGCGGCCACATCAAGAGTGGCAAAAAATTTGAGCGGCCCGCTGTGCGTGTTCCCAGCTGACGTCCTTGCAAAAGCAGTGCTTGCCCTCTTGTTTCAGTTCTCGGGCTATAAACAAGTGTCCTTTTTGGCCATTATGTAGTGTCACGCACTACTTAACACCATGTTTTTTGCATTTTTGTGCTTTCTGTTGGTCATTTCCCTGTGTCACAGGGCCTCAAGGGTGGTCGTGCGGCACTGCCCGTGTCCACCCCCCACTCAGGAGGGTTGCGGTGCCGTGGTTGGGCCTTACCAAGAGGAGGATGCCGTGTTGGCTTAGCTTCCCGCAGGCCTGAGTGATGGTGCTGTTGGCTCAGAGTTCATTGTTGGTGACTCAACAATCTGTAGGAAATAGTGTCTTTAAATAGAGGCACACGGAAAACAAGCTTGCCCATTGATGAGTCGGTAGGAATGTTGTGACCAGAGGCTCACAGGAGCCTAACCCCGTGTTTCCCCTTGGAGCAGAGGCTCAGTACACACCGAGTCAGCGCTCATGGTGGCTTTACAGGGGTCTTGTGAATAACAAGTTCCCGCCTTCCCGAGTGGTGGCAGCCATCGGCACGCGTGCACATATGGGAGTGGGTGGCCAGCAGCAGACGCTTTTCTCTAACTGCTGATTTCTGATCAGTCTCACCCTTCCACAGTTTCCCTCCTTTTACATATTTTTGATTGTCTTTCTGTTTTTAGCTACATTTTAAAATCTGCTTCCCAGAAAGGTCCCACCTGATCTAATGTTTTGTTTCCAGCAAGTGGCCAATATGATGATCAGGATGAAGAGAGAGTTTACAGGAAGCCAAAATTCAATATTTCCTGTTTTTGATAATCTCTTGTTGCTCGATCGAAATGTGGATTTATTGACGCCTCTCGCCACTCAGCTTACGTATGAAGGACTCATTGATGAAATTTATGGCATTCAGAACAGTAAGTAAAGTGACATCTGTGTTTCCTGAAAGGTCAATGGATAAAAATATTCAAAAGGGCGTTTTTTGAGGGGAGGGGGTTTCATTTTTGGGGGGTTTTCTTTGAGATGCTTTCTTTGCATATAAATCAGAAGCTATTTGAGAAAATACAGTTCTGACTTCTGGCTTTCAGACACCAGATTAAACAAAAGTCCAGCAAAAACTGGTGTTATTGGTCCCACGAAGGCTGGCCGGATGCTTAGTGTGCAGGACTCTGCTTGTCCCTGTGGGCAGTGACCCTCAGTTAGATACAGATGGCACCGTGCTTTGGAGAAGGTGGACCCTCGGGGCTGGCGGTTGTTGGGAAAGCTTGTTGAAGAGGCCGTATTTGCACTGCATTTGGTGAGGGGTGGGTGGAGAGGCCACAGCAAAGGGCAGGCCGAGTCAGAAACGCAGGGATGCTGCCATGGAGATCACAGTGCGACGTATCCTGGGAAGGGCTGACACTCGACACTGGGGACACCAGATGGAAGATTGGGGAGGCTTGCTAGCATTTAGGTGTGACAGATCATTAGGTCCAAGGTCAGAGACATGTTGATTTGGCTTTGGCCCACACCATAGGCTTGTTTATTTCTGTCAGCATTTTAAGTTTTAGAAATGTTTAATAATCTAATAATAATCCAGATATATTTCTTTTGCCATCAAAGTCTACTTTGTGGAAAAATAAAAACCTCAGTATTATATGCCATTTGTTTCCTGAAGCTGGCTTATTTGTCTCCTGAGTTGAAAAATCCTGTTTTGTGCCTGGGCACATGACCTGTTCCTTCAGTAAATGCACACAGGACCTTGCCCCCTTCCACTGTCATTCCCAGGTTATGTGAAATTACCTCCGGAGAAATTTGCCCCGAAGAAACAGGGCGATGGTGGGAAGGAGCTCCCCACGGAAGCAAAGAAGCTTCAGCTGAATTCCGCAGAGGAGCTCTATGCCGAGATCCGAGACAAAAACTTCAACGCAGTAGGCTCCGTGCTTAGCAAGAAAGCGAAGGTGATCTCTGCAGCGTTTGAGGTGAGGCTGTTTGGGTTTTGCTGCTGCCCTGGGTCGCAGGCTGGAGCCCCCCGACCGCCCACCGAGGGGAGGAAGAGCCTCAGGTCGTGCAGGGGCACGTTTCCCTCCTAAGGAACTGGGGCTCCCTAGGGTTTCTTTTGGGACCTGTTCCCAGACCCGTGACAGAACCGTGTTCCGTTTGCTCCTTCCTGGTGGGGCGGTCGGAGCACTGCTTGCAGTTTACAGCCTCTTATAGATATTTGTTTTACCTTTTCTTTTTCGTTATTTCCTACCTCCCTCACGAGGAAGCTAGCTGTACTATAAATAAAAGATCCTCCAGAATAGAGCTCGTGGTCAGGGGGGACAGCGCTAAGTCCCCGTGGAGGCGGGGGGTGACAATGAGGGAGGTGGTTCATTATCACCTCCCGCCCCCTCTCACCCGGCCACTCATTTACTCTTGGGTAAGCTCACTTCCAAAACAGGGAATTCAGTAACATGATAAACTCTGTTTAGACTTTGGAAACACAAACTGAGAAAATTTTTGAAAACTAATGTTTCACCAAGTCTATATTTCTAGATTTCATCTTTCTGACGGATTATATTTGTTCATTGATTTTCACATTTCTTTTTTTTTTTTTTAAGATTTTTATTTATTTATTTGACAGAGAGAGAGAGGGAACACAAGCAGGGGGAGCGGGAGAGGGAGAAGCACGCTCCCCGCTGAGCAGAGAGCCTGATGTGGGAGTTGATCCCAGGACCCTGGGATCATGACCCGAGCCAAAGGCAGCCGCTTAATGACTGAGCCACCCAGGCGCCCGATTTTCACATTTCTGAAGTTACATTTGGTTTACGTGATTAAATTTTGCCAAAAAAAATGCATCACTAAGCGAGGTTTACTTTGTTCATGGACAATATTCAGGATTGAGATTCAGCAGCAAGAATGAATCTTTTTTGTCTTTTTATAGAGGATATTTTTGCTGTTTATGTTTCCCTCTTAACATAATGTTTTTGTTTTTTATTTGGAAGTGTTTGTGGGTAACCTAATAGTGCCCCCACAAATACTCAGATGTCCCCGAATGCCAGTCACAATAGGATCCCGGGCATAGGAGGAGAAAACCTCACACACTTACTCTCTGAAAACTGCTAACACAGTAGTCAGGCACCATGAACTCATCTCTGTTTCTCTTGTAACGTCGGAGCTGGGTTTGGCCTGATTTATTTGCATTCTTTTTCTCACGTTGATATATGTCATACATCCCATGAGCAAGACACAGAAGAGAGCACTTAAAAGTAAAATACCTTGGGGGCACCTGGGTGGCTCAGTGGGTTAAGCTGCTGCCTTTGGCTCAGGTCATGATCTCAGGGTCCTGGGATCAAGCCCCACATTGGGCTCTCTGCTCGGCGGGGAGCCTGCTTACCCACCCCCGCCGCCTGCCTCTCTGCCTACTTGTGATCTCTCTCTGTCAAATAAATAAATAAAATCTTCTAAAAAAAAAAATATCTTTAGGGCACCTGGGTGACTCAGTCGGTTGAGCGTCTGCCTTCAGCTCAGATCATGGTCCTGGAGTCCCAGGATCAAGGCCCGCTTCGGGCTCCCTGCTCAGTGGGGAGTCTGCTTCTCCCTCTGCCTCTTACTCCACTTGTGCGCGTGCACACTCTGTCTCAAATAAATAAAATCTTGGGGAAAAAAAAGTCTTTAAAAAATTAATAAATAAAATCTCTCCCCTGCTTGATGGGTCTGTCGTTTCCCCCATTTCAGGAGCGGCACAATGCTAAGACTGTTGGGGAGATCAAGCAGTTTGTTTCCCAGCTGCCCCACATGCAAGCAGCAAGGGGCTCACTTGCAAACCACACCTCGATTGCTGAGTTAATCAAGGATGTTACCAGTGAGTATCCTTGGAGGGATGATTTTCATCGGGGCTGATTTCGTACACACTGATGCCAGGGTCACAGGCGCCACAATACCTCCTTGGGAAAGGCAGCTCCCTGTGAACATTGTCATTCTCAGTGTTAAAAATTAAGTGTTCTCATGTCCATAGTTAAATGTGTTTCGTTTGTGGTTAGCTCATTTTCTTCCCATTATTAATACCATCCTAAGACAAAATATTTGGAAAAGCGGTAAGAGGAAAAAACTCTTCTGTAAGTTTGCCACTATAATGAGGCTCCTTTTTGTCTAGAATTTTCCCTCTTGTTAAGGGTTTTTTAGTCAGACCAATGTGACATTTCTGGTTTTGTTTTTGTTTTTCCCTGGAAAACTTCCTGCAGAATTGGTAGAGAGATCATACGTTGAGTATTTTGAAAGCGCTCGGAAGATGTATATTAAACAGAAGACAAGTTTATTCACAAAAATGGGTGCCGTGTATTATGAAGTCTACTTTGAATCCAAAGTAAAACATGGTGTTGGAAAATCAGTCCTTTGTTTTCATGTTAATAGAAAGCAGTTAAAACTGGGTTGAATTTGGGGCGCCTGGGTGGCTCAGTGGGTTAAAGCCTCTGCCTTCAGCTCAGGTCATGATCCCAGGGTCCTGGGATCGAGCCCCGCATCGGGCTCTCTGTTCAGCAGGGAGCCTGCTTCCCTTCCTCTCTCTCTGCCTGCCTCTCTGCCTACTTGTGATCTCTGTCTGTCAAATAAATAAATTAAAAAAAACAAAAAACTGGGTTGAATTTGATGATGATAGTGAGTTGCTAGGGAGATGGGCTTTCCCTGGTTCCGAGGCAAAATTCTTGGGATCTGTGTTGATCCTAAGGGTCCCAAAGGGGTCAGCTACATCTTGCTGCAATTTAGGAGCACAAGGTCATAGGGTTTTCCATGTTTTAGAAGATTGTTTTCAGATGACAGTTTGAACCTTTTGCTTGCTTGTTTTTTGCACGTCTTGTTTCTTAATTATCTTCTGTGTAGGAAAGCGCACTGCTCAAATAAATCAACATTTACTTAATTTCTAAGTTGCATATTTGCTGATTACGTTTCAGCTTCTGAAGACTTCTTTGATAAACTAACAGCGGAACAGGAGTTTATGTCCGGAGTAGACACTGATAAGGTATGTGAACAAAACAACTCAGAAATCATCAGTGATTTCTCAAACACACGATTATAGGTAGAATAGCAACAGTGTTGATTCCCGTGCCTTGCCAAGGCATTTTTAAGAGCAAGTGCGGAATGTGAAAGTCTAGATTTCTTCATGTCACGGACAGTTAGCATTGTGCTGTACAAGGCGCTTCCCAGCCCCTGAAACCAGCCATCTTTAAGGCCTGTCGTAGTTAAATGAAGATATTTGCTTTCTGAGGGAACTGCTCATGTAATTCCTTTAAATTTCTACCTCTACTAATACATTTAAAATTCATTCAGTTTCTGGAAATTTCCTATTCGCTAGAAAATCTCCTATTTTCCAAGAAAGTGCCTATTACTATTACGCATGATCACACACGCCCCAGACATCCTCCCAGAAGGCTGGCTGCTGTGTCGAGACGGGCAGTTGCATTGCCGGAGTGTGTCCTCCGCTTTGAAAAATAATCGTAAAGACCAAGTTCCTTAGGCCCCCAAACCGGATGCCGGGATACATACCTGTGTGTTTTGTTTCCAGGTCAATAGTTACATTGAAGACTGTATTGCCCAAAAGCACCCACTGATCAAGGTGTTAAGACTGGTTTGTCTCCAATCCGTGTGCAATAGTGGACTCAAACAAAAAGTTCTGGATTATTATAAAAGGGAAATTCTCCAGGTCAGTAGGTTTCAAATGACTAATTTCCTAAGGGAGGAAACATCTTTTCAAAAAAATACTGCTTAAAGCTCCTGTTTTGGTATACTGTTTCCACTGTCTTTAATTTTTTTTTTAACACGGCGGGCGGGGGGGGTGGTTTGTCCTTGGTATTGATCACGATTTACTGGTTTTGCATAACAATGACAGCTAATGTTTATTGAGCATTTACTATGTACCAGGCTCTAGTGAAAGAGCTTTACTGTATTCATTTGTTTAATCCTCACTACAGCCCTATGAGTTAGATACTGTTATCGACCCTATTTTATGGATGAAAAAAACTGAAGCACAGGGTCGTTCTGTAGCTTGCCCAAGGTCACCTGACTAGTGAGGGGCAGAGCCAGTGCCAAAGCCCAGGGAACTGGGGTCTGGCGCCCTTGCTCTTACCCAGATTGCATTTGATGGAGGAAGGGACATCTTTGCAAATTTTCTGATATGATCCCTTAGCAGACATACTTAAATTAAGCCCATTTTACTTCATGATTAGGAAAAGGCCACCATTATTTTTAAAATTCTCCCCTGTTTGGACGTGTCTCATGTAGTATTTATTTGCTATCACCAGGCACAGTTAAAGTCATTATGATTAAAACTAAGTGCTCAAATTTTTTTTTATATTGTTTTGTCTTTTAAAAAATTACACAGATGACGCATGCATTCTCATCCTCTAAGATTCAGATAAGGCCAAGTGTCCAGGAGCAACATGCGGTCCTCCCCGCGCCCCACTCCTGCCCCCATCGCCCTCCCCATACAGGACCCGGGGCCGCAGTTAGGTTATGCGCCTCCAGACTCCCTTGCTTGTATTTATGGACAAAGAATATTCACACTCACCGACTGGGGTGAGACTGGCTGGGTCCGTGTCCCGGCTCTGTTACTGAGTAGCCGTGTGACCTTGGGCAAGTTACGTAAATGTCTCTGTCAGATGGAGACAGTAGTACCACCTAGCCCGTCGGGTTCTGATAAAGACACGGAGTTGTGGGGGGCACCTGGGTGGCTTAGTGGGTTAAAGCCTCTGCCTTCAGCTCAGGTCATGATCTCAGGGTCCTGGGATCGAGCCCCACGTCGGGCTCTCTGCTCAGCGGGGAGCCTGCTTCCCTTCCTCTCTCTCTGCCTACTTGTGATCTCTGTCAAATAAATAGAATCTTTAAAAAAAAAAAAAAACACGGAGTTGGTGCGTGTGACAGCCTTAAAGCAGACACTGCCCTGCCCCCAGAAGTGTTATGTCAGTGCTGGCTGTTACTGTTACTATTTACTGTATCTTTATTTTTTTTTTAAGATTATTTATTTATTTATTTGACGGAAAGATCACAAGTGGCAGAGAGAAGGGGGGAAGCAGGCTCCCCGCTGAGCAGAGAGCCCAATGCGGGGCTCAATCCCAGGACACTGAGACCATGACCTGGGCCGAAGGCAGAGGCTTAACCCACTGAGCCATCCAGGCGCCCCTCTACTCTATCTTTTTAAAAACAGAAAGAAAGTCCTCCTGTATATAGTATTCTATTTCTGTATTTTTTTGTTCTTGAGAATATATCCAGGGGCACCTGGGTGGTACTGCCGGTTGAGCTCCCAACTCTTGGTTTCAGCTGAGACTGTGATCGCAGGGTCATGAGATGGATGTGGGGCTCCGTGCCCAGCGGGGCGTCTGCTTGACATTCTCTCTCCCTCTCCTATGCCCCTCCCTCTGCTCTTGTGCACATGCACTCTCTCTCTCTCAAGTAAATAAATTAGTTTAAAAAAAAAAGAATATATCCAGATCTTCCTCATCAGGATGTATCAATGTGCCTCATTCTTTTTTTGAATATCAAATTATATCACACTTAAAACATTTATTATTTATTCGATGCTCCCTTAAGTTGGGTCCATAAATTCTAACTTTATTCTTTTTTAATAAATTCTGACTTTAAAGGAAAAACTTTAAATCGGTCTTTGAAGCAGGGAGCTGGTTAATTGTGACAAGCAGGCAGGTCGCACGCGCCACGTGGCCCCCGTGCCCGTAGACAGCCCGTGGACTTGGGTAACGGGCCCCAGCGTACAAACGAAATCTGTTTGTTGGAAGTGCTCTTTTTAGAAAGTGGCAGAAACTCTTTTCCTGATCTGACTTCTGTCCGAACGGCTCGCCTTGCAGACATACGGCTATGAGCACATACTGACCTTGTACAACCTAGAGAAGGTTGGCCTGCTGAAACCACAGACGGGGGGCAGAAACAATTACCCAACCATCCGGAAAACACTACGCCTCTGGATGGATGACGTGAACGAGCAGGTGAGACACACCCCTCCGCTTCAGCTCAGTTTACCTCCTGGTACCAGCCTGGGCCCGAGGGCAAGGAGAGGGCACTACCGCAGAAATCTGTTCCAGAACCTGGAGAGAAGAACTGTGTGGAGAGGCCATCTGACAAGACGAGGGAGGAGAGCCCTCTGGCTGAGAGGCACAGCCAGCCTCCAGCAGTGTGGCAGAAGGAAGCCAGGGCCGTCAACCCGACCCCTCGTGCTGGCCACTCTCCAGGTTCCATCTGGTGCCTCCCATTGGCCAACCCAAAGAGGGCGTGGGGGCACATTGGCATAGAGCCTACAGGTTTGCCTCCTGGACACAGAGCACCAAGTTGGGGGAGCGAGGAGGTGGAAGGATCCGGAAAATGTCCAGCACGTGTGGTAAAAATGTCGGCCGTACAGAAGTAAGGCAGACAGTGAAGAGTCAGTTTCCCTCCACATCTCACCCTGGTTTTCCCTCAGAAGGAACCGCTGTAATCAGTTTTTTATCTGTCCGTCCAGGAAGGTTCTGTGTCTCTACAGACCTTTTAACATAAATGATGCATATTTATACCATTGGCCTCCGAAGTAGAGTGCACTTTGCCTTACATTTGTTGTTGATTCCAGTTTTTCTAAATTTCTTCCTATTACTTTCTTTTTCGGACTTTCATAGGAACTTAATCAGGCTGCCTCCTACAACAAAAGCTAATAATTCAAAGTGGCAGAATCGGATTATCTTCCCCCAGGGGGGCAGAATATCCATACTTTTACTTTCTATATTGTACAGCGTAATAACAATTTATGAGTTCCCCTCTCTTCACTGTTCTGACCTGCCTCTCCCTACCCCCCCCAGCCACCACTTAACACTACCTCTCGAAGATCCTTCTGTGATCTACCTCGTTCTTTTTTGTAAGTTTTTTTTTTTTTTTTCAATTGCTGCATAGTGGTTTTGCAGCTAAACCTTAATTTCTGACGTAACAGATTTCTCTTGATAGAAATTCAGGCACTTCCCAGTCTTTTGCTAGTACGCACAGAGTTGCGGTTAATACATCTGGCTCTTCCGGTGGACGAGCCCTTCTGTCGGAGAAAAGCCCGAAAGTAGAACGCCTGGCTTCCAGGGACATGCATGTTGTCACTCGGCTAGAGAGTGCCGGCTTTCCCTCCAAGAAGTTTCTTGCCAAAGCAGATAACAGCATTTCATGGTCAGTGCCTCGAGATGCTTTGAGTGGCTTTTTCAAGATCTAAGTTCAAAGCTAACCTCGGGATATTGCGGAGTTCGGTTGTGTTTCTGCCTTGAAAGCCAAATCACTGAATTTTGGGTTACCCAAAAGGCCGCTGCTCAGTGGCTCTGCGTCTCTGTAGCTACAGACTTCCCCCCACTTCATGATTTCACAGAATCCCACGGACATATCGTATGTATACAGTGGTTATGCCCCTCTCAGCGTGCGCCTGGCGCAGCTGCTCTCGCGGCCTGGCTGGCGCAGCATTGAGGAAGTTCTCCGCATACTCCCAGGGCCCCACTTCGAAGAACGGCAGCCCTTGCCCACGGGACTGCAAAAGAAACGTAAGTCTGTGGCCAGTCTCTGTAGAGAATTATGTGCTGCTCGTGTGGTTTTCGTGATTGTGCAGTTGCTTTGTAAAGTACATTTGTAAGGTATTTGCAGGATTCAGGGTCCGGTAATCTCTTTTGTTAGTTGCTAATGTGCAGTGTAAGCTCTAGAACCCAGCATTCCCTCAGGAGAGCAGCTTTCAATTGCTGAGTTGAGGATCTCAGGAGCTCGAAAAAACATTGAGATCAAAACCGCATTCCTGAGTTTCAAAGGAGCTGTCTGTACGTACCAAGACACAGTTAACTGCTTTTTCTTAAATATGATGCTTTTTTTTTTTAATTAAAGATTTATTTATTTTAGAGAGAGAGGGAGAGCAAGCATGGGGAGAGGCAGAGGGAGAGGGAAAAAGCAGATTCCCTGCTGGGCTCAGAACCCAACTCAGGGCTCAATCCCAGGACGCTGAGATCATGACCTGAGTGGAAGGCAGACACTTAACCAATTGAGCCGCCCAGGCGCCCCCAATGATGCAGGTTTTTTTTAAAGATTTATTTATTTTTAGAGCGAGCACACGTGAAAGAGCAAGTGGTAGGAGGGGCAGAGGGAGAGAACCTATAAGCAGAGTCCCTGCTGAGCACAGAGCCCAGCTCTGGGGCTCCATCCCATGACCCATGAGGTCATGACCTGAGCCAAAACCAGGAGTTGGGTGCCCAACCGACTGAGTACCCAGGCACCCCCATGATGCAGTTTTTTAGTTTAGTTTTTTTTGTTGTTGTTTAAGATTTTATTTATTTATTTGACAGAGAGAGACACAGCGAGAGACGGAACACAAGCAGGGGGAGTGGGTGAGGGAGAAGCACACGTCCCGCTGAGCAGGGAGCCCGACATGGGGCTCAATCTCAGGACCCCAGGATCATGACCTGAGCCGAAGGCAGATACTTAACCCACTGAGCTGCCCAGGCGCCCATGATGCAGTTTTTTAAGACGTGGGAGGAGAAGCACCCATAATAAATAATTGTTTTTTCTGAAATGTTTCCCTTTCAGGTCAACCAGGGGAAAACCGAGTCACTCTGATATTTTTCCTCGGGGGAGTAACCTTTGCTGAAATCGCTGCGCTGCGATTTCTGTCCCAGCTGGAAGATGGAGGTACAGAATACGTCATTGCCACCACGAAGCTAATGAATGGGGCCAGCTGGATAGAGTCTCTAATGGAAAAACCCTTCTAGGGGGATCAGAGTCGACTTGAGTGAACTACAAAATAAACTGCTCCTTTGGAGAAGCCGCCAAGCGGAAGTGAAACCCCACCGAAGAATGACAGGAGAATACAGAATTTACTTCGGGGGTCAGCTTCTCCAATTACACTGGTTTCTCCTTTCTGCTTCTCTTTTGTGTTTCTAATTTCTTGAAGAAAAAAGAGAAGAGAATCCACCTGGCTCCCAGGAACACCAGTTGTTAAAGTTCTAAGCTCGGGGTCTTCCTTAGAGACCCTGCAAACGTATTAAGGACGGTGGGGACAGATAATCTCATACAGCTGCGCAAATGAGGTCGTTCTTAACATAAGAAGGTGGAGACTGGGCTGAAAATGAAAAGTAGAACGTCTCACCCCTAATAGGAATTTCTGGAAGGCACGTCAGGCCTGGGGCGGTTCGGAGCAGGAGCTGGCCCAGTCACAGAGTTGAGATCTCTTTGTCCTGCAGATTAGGCCACGTTCTGTTCGGTGGTTGTCAGCCTCTGTCTTAGGTGGTCACTAAGGCAAGTATTGATTCCTTCTGCCTCTCAGTCTTCTGCTCCTATAAAGCAAGAGGTGTGGAGGGACTTCCTTCTCCAAATCAAAGTTCGTCATCTGTCTGCCCAGCTAGGGTTCTGTGGGTCTCATACTCGTCAAGGGCTTTTTACGTCGAAGAACGTGAGGTTGGGGAGCAGCTGCCTGAGAATTTTCTTTGACGCTATTCAGACGCTTTCTGAGCACTCGTGTTTTTCCCGGTGTTGCCATGGTAGATGCCTCCGCCCAGGCGTCCGTTTTCTTCCCCATCCATCGTGGGCCCCAGCACCCGCTGGTCCCCCGTGAGCAGCAGCAACTCCTGCTTCTTCGGCATTTGGCGACACCACCTGCACGGTAGCTGGCACACGTCCTTCTCCACACTGTCTCTTGTGTCTGTTTTGCTGGGAAACATACAGCTCCGCCGCAGGCCCTGGTCCAGTGACCTCTGCCTCCTCTGGTGCAGCTCGTCCATGGCCTTGGTGTCCAGCAGTCGCAGCTGCTCCTCCTGCAAGGGATGGTTAGCCTGTGGGACAGAGGGACAGGGAGTTGGTCGAGAGGCTGGAAACCTCCTGCTCCATCCCAGCATCTGGAAGTTAAATCCAAGAACGGGACCAAACGGATGGCTTCATAGCCCTTGCCCAATCTCCCCTTTGTTGGGGGATCAAGGTCAGCATCCTTCCTCCGGGGAGGTGTGGCTTCTGTTGTTTCTCGGTAACCACACTTGTTTTCTGCTCATTTTGTACTGTTAGTGAAATTCTGGTAGCACATTGCATGCTGTGAGTGAAAGAGAAATTCTACAAAAAAGATCTCTAAGAATGAGGAGCAGAAGAGGTCCTATTTAAAAATATGCATTCCACTTGGCCTTGACATTCAGTATTTGGAAAAGGGTCTTTTAAAAAAAACAGGTCTGTTTTAGAAAATCCGTTTTCAAATACTCATTATCCCAGGGAGATTCGTTTTATACCTTCCAAGCCCCAGCTGTTGTTAGCCTCAGCCACTTAGAGGACGAAATCCACCTTGTCTCTCAATGTCTTTGGCTCACGGGATTCAGTTCAAGTCTGGTCAGGTCTCCTTGGCCGGGGTTTTTGTTCTGTGAACAGACCCTCAGTTGTGTCTCATGTGTCGACATTCACTCGTGACTCTGTACTCGCTTGCTCAGAGGATAGTTAGGTCGGCTCTTAAAATGCATTCAGCAGACAACTTAAAAACATCAATTGCTTCATTTGTATGCAAATAGAAAGTGCTGGATAATTATATATTATACGCCTTTGTGTGAGTTCACTTAATCCTTGAAGCAGCCTCTGTCTCAAAGGAGTATGCCCTTACTGGGAAAGGGTATGTGAATGGTACATTTATTCCTAGAGAGGGCGGATTGTTTACATCATGTCTGGACTTTTGTCTAGCTAGGTAGACAGTTTTGCCTCCCCAGCAACTCCATAAAAAAGAAGTCTACATAGATAAAGAAGTCTGCATAGGCACTATTCTGTGTCTTACTATATACTTTTGAGTTTTAGCCAACAGAGAAGTATTTGAGTTGTGGTTTAACTGTAAAACAAAAGAATACAGGCATACTGAGAGATACTTGGCTTTGGTTCCAGAGCACCCCGATAAAGTGAGTGTTGCAATTAGGTGAGTGAATGTTTTGGTTTCTCAGTGCATATAAAATTATGTGTACACTATCCTATAGCCTCTTAAGTGTGCAAAAGCATTGTGTCTAAAAAAGAAGAATTTGGCTACAAAATGCTCACCATCATCTGAGCTTTCAGTGAATTATAATCCCTGGTCACAGTCCACCGTGACGAATATAATAATAATGGAAAAGCTTGAGACAGAATTACCAAAATGTGACAAAGTAAGCAAATGCTGTTGGGAAGACGGCGCTCATGGACTTGTTCAGCACAGGATTGCCACACATCTTCAATTTTTAAAAACTACACTGTCTGCAAAGTGCAGTAACATGAGGTGTGTCTCTAACGGTTGAAAGGGGGAATATGAAAAATAGCACATTTAATTCTTTTTTTTTTTAAGATTTTATTTATTTATTTGACAGAGATCACAAGCAGACAGAGAGGCAGGCAGAGAGAGAGGAGGAAGCAGGCTCCCTGCTGAGCAGAGAGCCCGATGCAGGGCTCGATCCCAGGACTCAGATCATGACCTGAGCCGAAGGCAGCGGCTTAACCCACTGAGCCCCCAGGCGCCCCAGCACATTTAATTCTTGAAGAGCACTGGGAAGGTTTGGCCACTCTGGCTCTGCCATTCCTAGAAATGGATTACAGTTAACCATGACCTGCTGGTCTGCCTCTTGTTCTCAGTTGTACATTAAAGATTGGCCTGTCACCAGGAGGAAGTGTCTGTATTCAGCAGAAATTCAAGAAGAAATACTTTTTTAAAAAAATTACCAAATGAACTGAGTGTCTAAGGCCAATAGGAAGAGGGACTGTGGTAAAATAAAGATGGCAGGTCGTACAAAGGCAGCATCCCATAGACTGATTCGTGGAGAGTCGGAATTCTGCTCTTTGGCCAGATGTATTACACGTAGTCAGAGGCTGAAAACCTGCCACAGAAATAGAGGACGCCTTTTTTCCGCCAGTGATCTAAGAAAAAAGCAATAATGTAAACTTTCTCAGTTGCTCTTATTTCTAAAGGGAATGCCTGTGAATTTTAAGCCACGTAATGTTTCTTAACTTCGGTTGCTGCATTGGGGACCAGAGTCTGCAGAGCCTGGAACACCTAAGTGCTCCGAGACATCCGTCTGAAGGACGTGGGAGTGAAAGCCGACCAAACTGCACCTGCTTTAGTAGCCTCTCTTCTTCGTCTGTTGCTCTGGGGTGGGCTGAGGGTATAAATCTTAGCCATACTTTCTTTCCTATGCCTAGGCAGGACACACAAGCCCTTCAGATGACCAATTCTCTGGGGGAGCAATTACTACTCACTGGCTTCCTGAGCAGCTTGATAATGTTCTGCTCCTGTTTTCAGCAGGGCTGCGGCCGAGGCAATGATTTGATCATAACAGACCCTGATTAGATTAAGGAGCCATTTGCTTCTGGATGATGATGTTGATAAAAAAGGGTTGATGTCTGCACTCCCTGCTATTTTAAAGGTCAAAAAAAACCAAAAAAACACCCTAGTCTTTAATCACAAACTTAAAACAAAAAGCAAAATAATCTGAAGCAGCATAAAGTTTGGGCTTTTTCTTCATTGCTACATCTGGGAAAGGGTCCGTTCTTTATTTGCCGAAACCCTAACTGGCTCTTTTTGCATCGCTCCTGGGAGTTGAAATTGGGAGTGGGCTCACTGGGACGGTGCCTGTACAGTGCATCTCGAAACTGCTAAACTCGGTCAATTAGAATCAAGCACTCAGGAGCTCTTGGTTCTCCAAGCTCCTGTTTCTCACATACATGCGTATGTGCATGCTCACACTTACGTGTTTTTAAGATAACAGCCCTTGCTGTAGTTGGACAGTCGTAAGTGAAAGTCATTTGTATAGTGGTTCTTCTAGTCTGAGACTCAAGAGTAGGATAGGGCTCCTCTTCAATATGAGCTTGTTAGAAAAGGATTTGGACTGTATCCCACCTGCAGCGTTGAGAAAAGCAAGACAAGAAGGGGCATGAAAAAAATCCCCTAGTGTACCACTTGCTCAGCCCATCTGATCAGGAGTTTTGCAGGCATCCTTAGAGCCTGTGGGCTGTGGTGGTGAAAGCTGGGGGTGGGTGGGGAAGGCAGGCAGGGTTGCCAGTGCCCCGCCTGGCCTGGGGTAGGCTCTGCGCAGCTCCCTGATTGCTCAGGGACCACGTGGAGACTGTGATTGGTCTCTAGACCACACCTAGTTGGTGAGTGCAGCTGCTCCCTGAATATCCCACAGCTCTGCCTAGATCGCTGGACTGCGCACACGCCTACCTTCAGACACCAGACCCGGAGAGGAACCGTGGAGCTGCTGCAGCAGAGGAGTTGTGGAAACTTTGCTGAGTGAGTGAAATGGGGAGAGAAGGAAGCTAGTGGCTGGCCCTAAGGGAAGTTGCTGGGCAGGACAGCAATGGAGATGAAGAGCTGGTTTGTGATTGTTGCCATGTAATTCCATCTGTGGTGGAAGATAGCAGGACTGGAACAGGTGCACAGGAGCACAATTGGGAAGGAGATAAGCCCAGAATCAAATTGATGTCCACCCCTTGGCACTCCTGCAGTACTGGCTGCCCGTGAGGGCAAGCGTCCTGCCCACAAAGCAAACATTTTCAAACTCTGCATGCTGTCAAGCCTTGGGGTCCAGGGAATTGCAAAGGGCGTCAGTGAGGACCTGCTGTCTTCTCCCACCCGAATGGGTCTCTCTCCTCTTCCCCTCCCAGGCAGCACTGACAGCTGGGGCTGCATCTTGAGCGATGGGAAAAGCAAGCCTTACTCCACCAGGCCATTAGCAGCACTCACAGCATTAAAAATGCAGGAGGTGGATGGGAGGACAGAGGGCCCGTGATGAAGACTAATGCAGCAGCCGAGACTGGGAACAGACAGGATTCTCTCTCCTCAGAACCCAGATCCAGATTAGGAGCCAAAGAATGAAGGGAACTTTTGGCTTAAAAGATTTCTATAGTGTGAATGCTAAGAGGGCCTCTAGCTGGTCGTTAGGGAGAAAATCAGAACTTCGGGCTTCTTCAGCCTTAGGACAGCGTGTTTACCCTTTTGAATGCCAGGACCTAGCCTAGCCTGTGTCCACATCGCCTGCGACACTGCCTGGCTTGGCGGCGCTGGCTCTGTGGCTGGGGGGTGGAGGAGGTGACCCTGCGGGGGACCGTCCCCTTTGAGCGCTCAGGGACTCCCGAGTGCCCCTGCCCCGCAGGTCCTCCGGCCTCCCACGCACGGCGATGCCGGCCTTGTCCACCATCCACGTGCTGCAGCTGCTGCGAGAGCTGCTGGCCTTCGTGCTCCTCAGCTACACAGTGCTCATCGGGGCGCTGTTGCTGGCCGGCTGGACCACCTACTTCCTGGTGCTGAAGTGACAGCGCCCAGAGCCCCGCCCCCCGCCGTGCCCGCCTTGCGCCCGCCCCCACCCGCCCGTCCCACGGCGCGCCGCCCCGCCTCCCCGCCTCCCGGCCGGACGCGCTCCACTCGCTGACAGAAGAGCCGTGCGCCTCGCGCCCGGGCTAGGGCTGCCTCTCGAGGCACAGCCACGCCCGGGTTGGCGTCCAAGCTCCCCTCACGACGGCCGACTCTGCTCCGCCCGCTCCTCGCCCTCAGGTCCAGGGCCCGCCCCGTCCCGCGCGGAAACCCGGTCGGTTGGGCTTTCGCCACAGCCGTTAAGGCCGTTACCCTAAGCCCCGCCCCCTAACTACCTCCCGTCCAATCCCGACGGCTCCTTCGGGTTGGGGTGTGGTCATGGGGCCAGGCCCCCTCAAGAAGAGGCCGCGCCCCTTCCTCCGCTCAGGAAGCGGCGTCACTTCCGGCGTGTGCGTCTGGCGTCCGGCCGCCGCAGGATGGCGGCTCTGAGGAGTTGGCTGTCGCGGAGCGTTGCCTCCCTTTTCAGGTACCGCTGCGGTCGGGTATGAGGGCAGTACCCCAAAGGGGGAGGCGCCGCAGGTAGCGCTGTGGCCGGGATGGCAGCGCCAGTGTAGCTGGGGCTCCTTTCGCTTCTCGGCCGGGCGGGCCGCTGCGTCCCGCCCCTCTCAGGTCCGAGGACGTCCCGATTCTGCCTCCCGCCTCCCGGGGCCAAAGCCGGGGTTTCTTTCTCACTGACGGCTTTTCTGTTATTCCCCTGGGTGAACGCCAGTGAGCCCCCTCCGCAGGCTCGGGTTGGCTTCCTGGGGAGCCTCGGCCTGTCCTCGAGTTCCCGTTGGCCCATCGCCGTCACTGGAGGGAGATCGGGAGCCGCCCGGGCGAGCGGCGGGTTACGAGAGCAAGTTTTCTCTGCGGGCGGGAGGGGAGCTGGTCAGTCCCCGCGCGGCCCTGGCCGCGAGTTCCAGGTGTGGCCTAGCGGGGACCATCGGAGGTCCGGAGCTACATGCTGCAGCAGTGTGTGTGTGTGTTTTGTTTTTTTTTTCTTTTGACCCGAGGTTTTACAAAAGCTCTGAGACTGCCTTTTAAACTTCCACACCTGTTGCCGGTTAAACTTCGAAATCACTGTGCCCGCATCCCCGCGCGGCCAGGTGCCCGGGAGTTGGGTAGCAGCTGCTCCTTCCAGCGAGTCCGGGGCTTTCCAGGCTCACACGCTCCCCACCGAGCCCTGTCGCCTGGAAGGCGGACCCAGCATCTTCGTGTAGGCTCCTGCGTGGCCGAGTGTGAGTTTCCAACCCCTGCAAACTGAAGACGTGCAGATTGGTAGTTACTGCCTTCCTGAATCCGACTTGTGTTTCTAGGTACAGGCAGTGTGTTCCTGTCGTGGCTAACTTCAAGAAGCGCTGCTTCTCAGAATTGATAAGACCATGGCACAAAACTGTGGCGGTTGGATTTGGCGTGACCCTGTGTGCGGTTCCCATTGCACAGGTAAAAATACTGTAGCGCCACTGGGTGTTGTTAGTGTGCTATGCCTTCCTGAAGTCTCACCTGGGCAGTGAGCCACCAGACAAGCTGTTCGTGTTACCCAGTGTTCGCACACCGATGTGATGGTTTACTTTCCTGTACCAGCATCATCGTCTCATAGCTGAACAAATATATTAATGTTCGCATTTTTAACTGTCCCATTTGGTAGGAATAGTATGTCAGGGTTGGTCAAATTGTATAAAGAGGGAGGAGAATAAGAAAGGGGATATTACGGTCTGTCAACAAAATAATCTTTCATTCAACAAAAATTTATTGAGCAACTTTAATGTGCCATATGCTGCTCTTGTAAAACTTGCATTCTGGGGTGGGGGTGCCTGGGTGGCTCAGTCGGTTAAGAGTCTGACTCTCTTTTAATTTTTTTTTTTAAGATTTTATTTATTTTAAAACGTATGTGGGGTGGGGCAGGGTGAGGAACAGAGGGAGAGGGATAAACACAAGCAGACTTTGCACTAAGCATAGCGCCCTACCCCAGGCTCCATCCCACAACCCGGAGATGATGATCTGAGCTGAAATCAAGAGTCTGCAGCTCAACCTGCTGAGCCACACAGGCACCCCAAGCATCTGACTCTTGATTTAGGCTCAAGTCATGATCTCAGGGTCATGAGATCGGGCCACATTAGCCCTGCATGGGGCTCCATCCTGGGCACGGAGGCTGTTTAAGATTCTCCCTCTGCCCCCGCCCCCCCCCACGCTCTCAAAAAAACCCCCAAAAAACAAACATTCTAGGGAAAAGAGAAGAGAGAAAATAAATATAAAATGCAACCTGATGAGTGCTGTGGAGGAAACAAATAGGGTAAGAGTATAGGGAGTTCTGGGAGGGAGTTGTTTTATTTTAGATAGGAGAGAGTGGTCCAGGAGGGCTCCTGTGATAAGGTGATGTGTAAGTCGGGATCAGAATGGTCTGAAAGAATAAGCCGTGGTAATATCTTGGAGTAGAGTTTTCCCGGCAGAAGGAACTCTTGAGTGCAACGGCCTAGAAAGCAGGTGTGTCTACCCAATATGTTTGATGACCAGCAAAAATGGTTACTGTGGCTGGAGTGGAATGAGAAAGCATAACAGACAAAGCCAGAAAATTAGCTGAGGGTCAGACTGTTTTGTCCTTTTGAGCCATCGTAAGGCTTTTAATTTTATTCAGAAAATGAAGCCACAGAGGGTTTTAACACAAGGTTGTTACAATCTTACATGAGTTGTTTTGTTTTGTTTTTAGAGGTTTTATCCATTTATTTGACAGGCAGAGATCACAAGTAGGCAGAGAGGCAGGCAGAGAGAGGGGCGGGGGTAGCAGGCTTCCTGCTGAGCAGGGATCCCGACGAGGGGTTCGATCCCAGGACTCTGAGATCATGACCTGAGCCGAAGGCAGAGGCCCAACCCACTGAGCCACCCAGGCGCCCCTCACATGAGTTTTTAAAGGTTGCTTTGTGAAACTAGGAAGACCAATGGGAGATTGTTGCCCTAGTCCAGGCTTGGAATAGGCGGGCACCGGTGTAGGTGGAGAGAAGTGGACCAAATGTGGTCAGCTCAAGATGCTGTTGGATTGAATGTGGAGTATATTCCAGGATTTTTTAAAAATTATTTTTAAAAATTTTTTAAAGGATTTTGTTTATTATTTGACAGAGCGAGATCACAAGTAGGCAGAGAGGCAGGCAGAGAGAGGGGGAAGCAGGCTCCCCACTGAGCAGAGAGCCCGATGCAGGGTTCAATCCCAGGACCCTGAGATCATGACCCGAGCCAAAGGCAGAGGCTTAACCCACTGAGCCACCCAGGCGCCACCTTCCAGGATTTTTTAAAAAGCCTAAGCAACTGGAAGAATGGAGTTAGCATTTGTTGGAGGGGAGGGTGGTACATTTTGGGAGGATGAAATCAGGAGTTCAGTTTTGGAAATGACAGTCTAAAGCATCTAGTAGACATCTAGGTGGAGTTGGCAGGTAGGTGATATGAAAGTGATACCTTATTAAAAAGATCACTGATTATATGCTTTCTGAGAAAGAGCTAAATAGGAAACTAGCAAACCCCGGTTTGACAAAATATTTCTAATACTTAAATGTGTGTTTATCACAACAAGAAGATCAATTCCAGGGGCGCCTGGGTGGCTCAGTTAGTTAAGCGTCTGCCTTTGGCTCAGGTCCTGATCTCAGGGTCCTGAGATCAAGCCCAGAAGCAGGCTCAGTGGGGAGCCTGTTTCTCCTTCTTCCTCTGCTCCTCCCCTCCCCAATTGTGTTCTCTCTCAAATAAATAAATACAATTCTTAGAAGGAAAAAAAAAAGATCAATTCCATTGATCCCAAGTCTTTGCAGCATCTTCTGAGGCTTTCTCATGAGCCCGATCTCTGCTTGTTTATGAATTGTTGATTCTAAAACTCTTACTTGAACACCAGGCCATTTTCTGCCACAGTTAGGATAGCATTTCTTCTTCCCTTAAAACGAATTTTCTGGGTTTGTCCTTTCTCAGTTCATACACTTTTCTTCAGCCCCAGTTACCTCAGTTCTGGGCCACATGACAGGAGCCTCAGGTCATTTTTCTGTAGGAACAGTAGTTCCACTTCTGTTCTTCAGAACCCGCAGCAGCTCCCCATTGTGTGCTGCAGAACTAAAACCCAGCCAGCTCTCACCGTACTCGTCTCCTTGCTCTCTCCCCTCCCTCATGCCCTTTGTTGTGACCACATCCCCGGACGTTCCCTGAATGCAGTGGATGTATTCTTCTCCTCATTATTTCTTCTACCCCAGGCTGCCTGGCAGTTCTCATCCTGGCTATCTTCAGGCCCAAGTCCCACCTCTTTTTAATGCCTTTCAGAGTTTCTGACCAACAGTGATCTCCATCTTTCTGACCGCTCGTGCTGTATTCTGATATTGGTTGATTACACTCCCCGGAGTCAGCGGAGCATCACAGAAAGGGCACAAACATTGACGAAGGTGTGGTTTAAGGTCTAGATAATGTGACTTTTTGGGAGAGTTTCTGTAACAGAGTATTCGGAGTTTCCATCTCCTCATCTATAAAAAAGTGCTAACACCTGGGCTGTTGGGAGCAGGTGAAAACTTGTTAGATGCAGTGTGGGCGGTGCAGCCGGTTAAGCGTCTGACTCTTGGTTCGGGCTCAGGTTGTGATCTCAGGGTTGTGGGATCAAGCCCTCCGCTGAGATTAAAATAAAATGTATTATTAAGATGTAAGAGTATATCAAAGTTAGCTTCCAGTGAGCAGAAATAATATTCTTTTCACTCTTTCTGTACCTTCAGTGCAAGACACATAATGAATACTTAATTGTAAAGGAAAATTCTGGATTTGTTCATGTGTCAAAGATTTCTTGACTGATAACTTTTTTTTTTTAAGATTTTATTTATTTATTTGACAGAGATCACAAGTAGGCAGAAAAGCAGGCAGGTGGCGGGGGGCAGGCTCCCCGCTGAGCAGAGAGTCCATGCGAGGCTCAATCCCAGGACCCTGAGATCATGACCTGAGCCGAAGGCAGAGGCTTTAACCCACTGAGCCACCCAGGCGCCCCAAGTAGAGGATTCTTATAAACCTTTCATAATTCAGCATACAGTGAAGAGTATCTTTCCAAAAACTCATGTTATGACACTTTGGTTTTTGCAAAGGACATTTAGTACAGTGACAGCTTTTTTTCCTTTGTAAACCTGAAAATCCTCTCTGGACTTTTGGTGTTTGAAGTCAGCTACGAATACAGTCAGATACCTTAAAAGCAAAGGGACTTCACGCACACTTTCAGAAAGCGGGGAATACTTGAATTTAGTTAAGGTGGCCACACTTCCTTAACTCTTGAGATCGTTACATTGGCTTTTTTTTTTTTTTTTTTTTTTAATAGTTGAGGTTAGAGTGAAGAGTCCCCACCCCCTACCCAGGACTGTACTGTTCATTCTGCTCAGAATCGCTCTCCCCCATCCACCCACTTACTTTCTTAGACTCAGCTTATCCCTCATCAACTCTGTAAAGCCTTTTTAAGCTCTTTTCATTCAGTACAGAAGTGACTGTTTTTCATGCATGCCCCTACTTGTAGCTTTTACAGACGTCTGGGGCGCCTGGGTGGCTCAGTCAGTTTAGTGTCCGCCTTCGGCTCAGGTCCTGATCTCAGGGTCCAGGGATCAACCCCACGGCCCGTTCCCTGCTCAGTAGGGGGTCTTCCTCTCCCTGGTGCTTTTTCTCTCAAATAAAATCTTTAAAAAAAGATACACAAACTTCTGCCATAGCTCCCATGGTACTTGATTTGCATTAATTGTTCAAGTTCTCTCTCAGCCCCAGCGCCTCCCCTTCCCCATCTGAAATCTTTGAGGACAGAGAATATATCTTCTATGTCTTCATATCCCAAGCGTCTCACACTGTGGTAATGAATGAATCAGAACTTCATCAGATTTGTTGGTTATAATTACTAGACTTTTATTTCATGTAGAGAAATGCTTGGCTTTTTGGAACATGGCATAAAGAATCAAAGTCGATGGGAGGCACACTTCTATATGGTCTTTAAGAGCCAAAACAAAGCCTAAAAAGAAAACAAGCAGTTTCAGTGTGGGAAGTGTTTTTCACTTGTTTCTTTAGCTATGAAGAAGTTCTCGGTTTGAGCTTCAGGTTAGAAGATGAGTGAAAATGTTTATGTCTTTCAGAAATTGGAACCTCATTCTCTTAGTAATGACGCGTTAATGAGGAGGGCTGTGTCTTTGGTAACAGACAGCACGTCCACCTTTCTCTCGCAGACCACATACGCACTGATTGAAGCGATCACTGAATATACTAAGGTAAGGGTCTTCCTGTTGAGTCTTGATCTAAACCAGGGGTTAGCAAACTATGGCTTGTAAACCAAATCTAGCGGGGTATCTGTTTCTGTGGCAACACTGGCGTGTTGCCATCCTCCTTTGTCTATATGTTCTATATTTGTCTATATCTCTTTGTATTTTCTAAGACTGATTTTGTAGGTTGAATAGTTGTAAATATTTTAGGCTTTACAGGCCCTATAGTCTGTTACAACAAAAGTTGGTCGAGCCCTTGACCTAAAGCAGTGATTTTTAGATTTTTTTCCAGGAACCCTTTTTAAAAGAAAAAGAAGAAAAAAATGTTTTTTTAAGATGTATTTATTTGACAGAGACACAGCGAGAGAGGGAATACAAGCAGTGGGAGAGGGAGAAGCAGGCCTCCTGCCGAGCAGGGAGCCCAATGCGGGGCTCAATCCCAGGACCCTGGGATCACGACCTGAGCTGAAGAAAGCCGCTCAGTGACTGAGCCACCCAGGCTCCCTGAAAAAGAAAAATCTTTAAATACAGCAGCCCAGTATGTAAGACAAAACCAAGCTGATTAGGTGCAGTTACGGGTAAAGGGGTCCAGAGTCTCCTCCTTGCGGCAGCAGGCGCTTTGCTGTGGGGACAGTTTGAAAACCACTTACCCGCGTAGAGAGGTATCTGGATAATCCAAGTCCTTGTTTATTGGTGTATTGTACCATCATTTTTCAGCAGTTTTTCCCTCTGCCTTCTGAGTTTTTCCTCTGCGTTGTATTCTCTCTGTCTGAATTCCTAACAAATTTTTAGAAACACAGAATTTGACAAGTGGAAACATGTATGTCCTGGGATAATGCCTCTACCTGCCGCGGTAGCGCAACTTCAGGGAAGTGGAGGGACAGAGTGGGTTGCTGTAACGGGACTCTCTCCCCTTGGGGTGTAATCTCACAGGTCCGAACATGCCTCACTTAACTTTATTCTGTGTTTGTAGGCTGTTTATACCTTAATTTCTTTGTACCGACAATATGCAAGTTTACTTGGGAAAATGAATTCACAGGAGGAAGATGAGGTGTGGCAGGTGATCATAGGAGCCAGAGTTGAGGTAAGCAGAACGTTAACAGACGTTTCTGTATTAGTGCCCCTGCCCCGTCGTGGTGTCTAACAGTGACTGTCCTCTAAGTCTGTCTTGAATAAGCCCATGTTACGTGCTCATTAACCTCTTCGTGTTGTCTCAAGTGCCGTGTTTAATTTACAGATGACTTCAAAACAGCAAGAATACTTGAAGTTGGAAACCACTTGGCTGACTGCACTTGGTCTTTCAGAGATGGCGGCAGAAGCTGCGTACCAAACTGGTAGGTTCAAAGTGTACTGCCAAGGTGCCCTTTGAGTTTTCGTCTGGCTGTAAAATGAGGGATTTAGATTCGTCTAAGGCCCACGTGGCTCTAACTTTGTGAGAAAGTTCCCCATTTCCACTAGCTAGGAAGTCTGTATCTAGAAACGATACAGCTATTGCCCATTATTCTAATTGCATCTAAATCATTTTTAAGCATTTTGTTCCTTTTATAACCCCGGTATTGATGGGTAACTGGGCATACCGTGGCACAGTTGGAGACTGGAGACCACCCGTTGGTGTGAACCTGTATAGATGGGAGAAATGGGGACCTGGAATCCTAGTCAGTGACAAATCCAGGACAAATAATAGCTTTGTTTATTCTGTTTATTGAATACTGGTCTGTTCCATGCTTTGCAGTAAGTATTTTATAGGCATTTGTAATGTAAGGAACCGAGGATTAGCATCCCCACGTCTACACATGAAGAAAATGGGGACCCAGGGGTTACGAAATGCACTGAGATATGCTGGGTGTGTAAGGAAGCAGCCACACTGGCATTCAGCACGGTGCTAAAGCCTCTGCATCTCCGGGTCCCAGTATAGAAAATGTGGTTCCGCATTCACCAGGATGTTTTCTGGACCTCTCAATCCACCCAGTGGGCGTGAGCTGAAGGTTTTTAACTATATTTTGAAGAAAACTCTATTCTTATCTGAATTGGTCTCAAACTGGGTAGCTCTCAGAAATTTCTGTTTTCTCACTTTCAGATAATAGACTAGGGTCTGTAGCACCAAATCTTAAAAAGGATACAATATGCATTTTTAAAACTAAAGACAAAAAAGAAGTCTTAGTTAACTAAAGGAATCTGCGATCCTAGAGGCACAAGTGGAATGAAGGGTGAAACCGACGTAGGGGCAGGGTTTCGAGATACAGTGACCAGGGACGTTTGCTGGGGCATTCTGGCGTGAACATTCCCAGGCAGCCTTAGATTGAGCTGGAGAAAAGGGAAAATAAAAGTATAACGATTATCTGGGGGAAAAAAAAGACTTTCACGGAACTGATTATTAGGGCTCACACTTTAAATCATGGCAAAAAAGCTCAATAGAATACTTCAACTATAAGAAAAGAGACTTACCTACGAAGGGAGTATAATCTGATATGGCTTCTGATCAACAACCCTGGATACAAGGTGATAAGCCAGTAACCTATCATTTTACATCCAGTCAAATATTATTTCAGACCTAAAAATACTGTTTACCAACCGCATATGTTTTCTGAAAAAACTACTTTTTGAAGAAAAAAAATTAGGAAGGAACGGAGACAGACGAATGAACAAAATTCAATAAAACTTGTAAACTTGTCAAAACTTCTGAGTGTTAAATCAGTTTGGGAAAGAAGTGAAAGCGTGCCGATAGTTGTTTTGAAAAAAAAAGATAGACATCATCAGCTCGACATTAGACCTTGCTAAACAAAGAAAACTTGGTAAATTCAATTAAGACAGGGAAGTTTTTTAAAAGAAATAGAACAAGTTCCAAAATAAGTCATCACAGTAACTGAATATGTTAAAAAAAAAAAAAAGAAAATCACCGACAGGGTCACCTCAGTGGCTCAGTTAGCGTGTTCCTTCAGCTCAGGTCATGATCCCAGCTCCCTGGGATGAAGGCCTACATGCCTCAGCAGGAAGCCTGCTTCTTCCTCTCCCTCTGCTTGTGCTGTCAAATAAATAAAAAAAA